AGCTCCAGCTCTGTCCAGCGCACCAGGGTGCTGCTGAGACATGACCTTCTCTGTGGCTGGCAGGGCCATGTGCCCAGCGCTGCCAGTGAGACCTGCAGGTCAGTTCGGGGGCTTCTGGAAAAGCCTTTACCTCAGCTGGACCATGTACTGCTCTCCCTCCAGCCTGGTACACTTCGTGACCTTGGCGGTGGAGCCACCGTCTTGTAGTCAAGAGGACAGGAATGGGTGAGGTCGCCGTTCCAGTGGAGTTGCTGCCTGGCCAGGACTGCCTGTGCCTGGATGCCACCGGTCACTGGACGAAACACTCACCCTAGCGCACTGGGCCCTGTATCTGGTTCTGTGGCCCGCAGCCACACGCAACCCGGGCTGGCTCAGGACTAAAGCGAGAATGAAGTGAGACGTCTCCTTCACAGCCCTATTCGGCTCCCAGCTTCCCAGAGGCAAGCAATATGACCAGTTTCTTGGGGACTTTCCAGAAATTCTGGACGCATAGATAACCACACGATTCTCTGTTGTTTTGCTTTTGTGCCCACATGGTGGCACAGAGCATGCAGACCACGCTGTCTGCCCTCGTACCTTCTACCAGACGATGCACCTAGACGTCCTCCACAGGGACAGTTATGCTGGCTGCGTATCACTGCGCAGTGTCAGTCACCTGAATCGGTTTAACCTGTCCCCTGCCGATGGTCGTTTCCAACCGTTGGGAGCAAACGCTTTGGCAATGATTTTTAAAGGTACTATTTGGACAGATGTTGATGAAAGACGAAGGCGCCCTATGAAAACCAGGCTGTGAGGCTCAGCCAGAAAGCCAGCAAGGAGGCGTCCTTTTTGATTTCCTTCTCCAACCCGGCGGTGGCTTGACCCTGCCTCTGGGCTAAGCCCTCCCCCAAGCGTAGACCCGCCCCAGAATTGGCTCCACCCGCTGGACCTCCCTTAGCTCCCAGAAGACCGGGCCGCATCCCTACTTGGCCCTGCCCATGGGACAACTGGCCCCTCAAGCATAGCCCCACCTCCAGGAATCCTGGCAACACCCACAGGCCTGGCCCTGCCCCTTGAGGTCTGGCTTCTCCTCCAGGCCTGGCTCCAGCCCCAAGATCCTGGCACCTGCCTCGGTCCTAGCCCCACCCCTAGGAGACGGGGTTCCACCCCAAGGAGATCTGGCCCCTCCCACAGTCATGGCCTCATCCCCAAGCAAGGCACCACCCCAGGAGGCCTGGCCCCACCCCTTGAAGTCTGGCTCCTGCTCCAGGCCTGGCCCCATCCCCACGAGACCCAGTTCCACCTCAAGGAAATCTGGATTCTCCCCTGAGTTATGGCTCCAACCCCAGGGGACATTGGTTCTCTGCAGAAGCCTGGCTTTGCCCCCAAGCCTGGCCCCACCCCCAGGAGACCTAGTTCCACCCCACGGAGATATGGCTCCTCCCACAGTCATGGCCCCACCCCGGGAGGTCGGCTCCTCCTCCAAAAGCCTGGCTCCGCCCCCAGGCTCTTTCCCCCTCACTGGGTGAGCCCCCACGGCCTAGTTCCTGGGCTGCTGAAACTGCCTGCCTGCTGGTCTTTTCGTCCCCACTCCTGCCCCCTTCTCACTCCCCATCCATGCCACTCAGTCTTCTTAAAACCCTCCAGGGGCATTGCGCCCCCATGGTGAGGACCAAGCCCCAAGACGGGTTCTGGGGCTTTGCGGTACTTGCCTCCCTGGCTTTTCTGTTACTACACACGTGCTGCTTCCAACCCCGCCACCTGCTGTGCCCTGCTGTTCAGAGCGCCTCCACCCTGCGGACCCTGCTTCCAACGACAGGCGAGGTATCTGCTTCCCCCGCCCCCGGGTCCTCCAGCCAGAACCAGCCACTCCTCTGTCGCCTGGTGCCCCCCTCCTCTTTGGAGCTTGCAATTCTAAGAGCTGACGACGTCCACCGCGCCTGCATTTTGCTCCGCGTTTCCTGGCATTGTCCGTCTCACTTAATCCTCAAACCGCTTAGGGAGGTCAGACCGTTGTTACTCTTGTCCCAGAAGAGGAGACGGGGGGCTGTTTGCATCCGTGTTCCCTGGACCCAGCACATGGGAGTTTGTTGGTTGAAAGAATGTGTAAATGGGGTGGGCAAAGGAGGAAAAAGAGGCAAAGACTATTCCAGTTTCCATGGCAACGGCAAGGCTACAGGACCGTGAACAGAGGGGACCGAGGAGGGAGGTGCCCTGGGGAGCAGGATCAACCGTGGAGTTTCAAGGTCCAAGGGACTGTAGGTTTCCTCTAGTCCAGATGTTCTCGCCTGGGGTCAAGTTCACCCCCCAGGGAACATTTGGTAATGACTGGAGGCATTTTTGGGTTGTCATTTTGCTTAGGGGGTGGGTGCTACTGGCATATAATGGATTGAGATCAGGACTATGGCAGGATGCCCTGCGGTGCAGAGGTCAGCCTCCGCAACAGTTATCCAGCCCAAAATATCAACAGTGCAGAAGCTGAGAAGCGCCGATGTAGTTCAATCCTGTTCTGGGTTAAATTTTCTCTGCAACATTCTCCCACCCCCACCAGAGCTTCCTTCAGTCTTTGCTTAACCACTTCAAGTGATGGCGAGCTCACCACCTCTAGAGGCAGCTGGTCCAAGGTGATGAGCTTGCACCAGTGCCAAAGCTGATGAGGCACCCAGGGGAAGTTAAGTAAAAGCCTCAACTGCCAGAAAAGCAAGTGCTTGGCTGTCACTGTAGGGCTTCAGGAGGAGCAACCCCCACCTCCACCGCCCAACTTCAGGCTGTCCTTATTCTCCTCCATAGAGGGGTCTCCAGAAACCAGGGGCCTGGGAGGCGTTCAGACGGTTCTGCTGGTTCTTGCCCTAGGATATCTCAGCCTGGAGAGGCAGGGTGGGAGTAGGGAGAGGCAAGAAGGAAGCAGGACTTGGTCACCTTAATATCTAGAAGTAAAATTAAGTTTCTGAAATATTAAAGCCTGATTAATGATTTGCATGTGGAAGTACTTAGGGGGAAATGTATGTATTCTGAAACACATCAAAAAATAAAATGGATGGGTAGATGGAGTGATGGGTGGATGGGTGGATGAGTAGATGAATAGATGGATGGGTGAATGAATGCGTGGGTGGGTAGGTGGATGGGTGAATGATGGGCCAGTGAATAGGTGGATGGGTGGATGGATGGATGGATGGATGGATTAGTTGATGGGTGGGTGGGTGGAGGAATGGGTGGATGGATGGGTAGATGGAAGAATGGATGGATAACTGGATAGATGGGTGAATGGATGGATGGGTGAATGGATGAATTGATGGGTGGGTGGGTGGAGGAATGGGTGGATGGATGGGTAGATGGAAGAATGGATGGATAACTGGATAGATGGGTGAATGGACAGATGGGTGAATGGATGAATTGATGGGTGGGTGGGTGGAGGAATGGGTGCATGGATGACTGGCTGGCTGGCTGGTTGGATGAATAGGTGGATGGCTGGGTGGATGGATGGATGGATGAATGGGTGAGTGAATGGACTAATGGTTGGATGGGTGGGTGAATAAATGCATAGATATGTGATCAAGCAAATATGAAATATTTTTTATTGTTCTATGATTAAGCCTATATCACAGATAAGGAAACAAGGGCCAGAAAGATTAGGGAAATCACTCAAGGTCACCCAGCTAGTGAATCATGGGGCCAGGATTTGCACCTGGACTGGATTTGCAGAGCCATTTCTGCACACCCCTCTGGAACTCACCTCTCCCATAGGTGGTTTTTGAGGGACATGGCTGCTCCAGGGTTTATACGGGAGAACTGTCCTGGCAGCAGCCTCACCAGAAGGGTTTGTCTTGAGGCTGCATTTGCAGGACACTCTACAACAGCTTTGATGATACTGATGGAGATAGTGGGGTGGGAACAGGAAAAAGGTGTAAACTTAGGGAAATCAGATGCTCTTCCTGACCAAGAGCTCCTTTAGATGCCGGAACAAGAGACAGGCAGGCCCTGCCCTCATGGAAGTGGCACTGTGTTTTCCACCTCCTCATTATGATTTTACCAGCAGGTTCTAAAGCAAGGGTTCTCAACACTATTCATGCCATGGATCCTTTTGCCATTCCATTAAAGTCTGTGGATCCCTGCCCAGAATAATGTTTTAAATGCATAAATAAATGCATAGACTATAATCAAAGTCAGTTACATATATAACTCTAGATGGAGATTTAGTGATAGGGGTTTCTTTACAGCACATTAAATAACCAGCTCTAACCATCCCATCTCCTTTGTTAGAGGTGAGCCTGTGTGGGGCGGTCTGCTGCTGTGGAATCCTGCAATTCTGGTTTAGTGCATTAACCCCAGGGGCTCAGACGGACCTGGGCTCGAATACCAGTTCACAAGCTGGGGAACCCTGAGTCATGGCATCACCCAGCCTGGCTTTTCTCATCTGTAAAGTGGGGGTGATCACAGCGCCTGCCTGGAAGAGGAGGTAAAGACCGTGCTGCTGTGAGATGTCTCTCTGGACAATAGCTGCGGGATCCCTGTCGAGGTGTCTGTGAGCAGCAAAGTCACAGCTGACTGATCCCCCTGAGTCCAGGGTCTGTGTGAGTTAAATGTTGGTGAAAACAGGTACATACATTTTTCTTGCTAGGTTCACAGGCCCGCAAAGTCCTCCATGAGTCCCACAGAAATCCCTGCTCCTGGGGGAATCAGATATCCACTGCCTGCACCAGCAGACTCTCTTGGGCTGTCCTTGTCCTCCAAGCAGTGGAAACTTTTAAACCTCTTGAGCTCAAGTGGCTGCAAGAATGTCCAGGCTGTTAGAGGGCAGTGACACCCCCCCCTCCCAACCCCCACGGGCCAGCAGGCTGATGTTTTGCTTTCTGTTCAGCCTGGAAGGGAAGCACAGCCAGCCCTGAGCCGGGGACAGGCCTGTCAGGGTCCCTCAGACCTTGAGCCGGCAGCTGGGGAGAAGCAAGGCTGTTTTTGTGCCTGCTGAGTCCCTGGGGCCAACCAGCCAGGAAGGCCACCCAGGGCCAGGCCCCTCTACTCACCAGCCAGACAGCTGTTTTCTTGCAAGTCCTGGCAGCGTGGAAAAGTTCCCAGCTCCAGCTGGGAAGTGGAGACGTTACCCAGCTGAGTGATCCCGGCTGTGGCTGGGGGCCTGGGCGTCTGTGATGTGGTCCGAAGCTGGATGTCCACCTTACCCGTGGGGGAAGGAGTGGTGCCCACTCACCTCCCTGCCCCTGGGGCCCTGGCATCCAGCCCTGCCGCTCCTGCCCCGACCAGAGGGGAAAATCGAGGGCACTCGGGTAGGGGAACAACCAGGCAAATGGCAGGGGCCGTCCAGATTCCTGGGCGGGGAGGAGATTTCGCTGACCAGAGAGGAGTGGCCCTTCCAGGGAGACGCAAGCCTTGCGCAGCCTGTGCCACCGGAGTTCAGCAGGGTTCAAAGCCTGTTTCTGGCTGAGCGGTCGGAGACCAGTCCTGTAACCTCTAGCGTCCTTCCTCATTCGGTGGGGATCGTAGGGCATTCAGTCCTAAGAGGGAGCAGGTGCAGCAGGGCCTGCGTGGGGCGGGGGAGAGAAGCGTGCCAGCGCTGATTAACAACAGGCGCCCTCTGAGCCTCGGCTTCCCCAGTTGTAAACTGGGAGAGCTGACCTCTAGAACTGACCTGACCCCTTCCTCTTCCCTGGAAACAGAGCCCAGCCTCCTCCCTGGCCAATCATGGAACCTCCTGCTCTCCTTTAAAAGCTCATTTGGGATCAGGTGCAGTGACTCACACCTGCAATCCCAGCACTTTGGGAGGCCAAGGCAGGAGGATCGCTTGAGTCCAGGAGTTCGAGACCAGCCTGGGCAACATGGCAAAACTCCATCTCTACAAAAAATACAAAAAGTAGCCGGGCATGGTGGCACATGCCTGTGGCCCCAGCTACTTGGGAGACTGAGGTGGGAGGATCGCTTGTGCCCAGGAGGTCAAGGTTTCAGTAAGCCGAGATTGTGCCACAACACTCCAGCCTAGGAGACAGAGCGAGACCCTGTCTAAAAAAAAAAAAAAGCCTGTTTGGTTTAGTTTTGCGCATGCAATGTGGAGAAAGAACAAAAGCACCACTCCCCACGTGGCCTCCACCCCATCGGAGTTCACTCCCCCGATCCATTCCAGACAGGGCTGCTTCCCCTCACACATGTCCTCACTCATCATCACACCAAACAAACACAGTGGGCACCGGACTGCTTTTCCCACCTCATGTCGTGCCATTAAGCAGCAGTGCGTGTTACGCTGTAATTCTCGTAGACACTGCTTGTCCTTGCACACATTATTTATTTATTTATTGCAAAATAGCTGTTTTTCTCATTGTGAGAGCCATACGTACTCATTGCAAAATTTTCAGAAGATTGAAAGTGTAATGAGAGGAGGGAGGGCAAGAAGCCACCATCATCTCATGACCCAGGAGTCATCACTGCGAGCCCCGTGGTGCGCGGACCGCCAGATCATGATTTTCAGAACTCTCCACATAAATGTATTGAATGATCAATTTCCAAATTTAAGAGCATACCTACAGATCTGCTTGCTGCTATATATATTCTTACATCATCTGCATGGGTATGCACATGTATGTGCATACACTCATATATATTCACACTCTACATCTATGCATATAATGTTTTTATTTCGTTTTATACTCTTACAATTCCACTGAGATTAGGACAGCGAGCATACTAAAATATGTCATCTTCAGAATTTCTGGACACACACGGGCACATTTTCAGATGTGGTGCCATCTTTCTGGTTTGCCCCTATGTGAGGCCTCTCCTGCCAGCCCCGTCACTTCCAATCTCCTCTCTTTTCCACCCGCCCCGTGCTCTGGGGGCTGACCTACCCCACCCCACTGAGCCCTCTGTCTTTCAGTTGGATTTGGCCAACAGGAGACTGGGGAAGAGCAGAGAGTGGGAGGAGAGGGGGGCGTGCCTACCCCCTGTCTCCTCCTGGTTGCTGGTGGTGGGCGGGGGCCTCCTTCCCTTCTGAAAGCCTCAGCTCTGTTTGGGCGCACGGGTGGTCCCAGCTACCCTCTTTCCAGTCCTGCGCTGCTTCCTATCCTTCCATAACCTCCTTTCACCCACTCCTCAACACACCTTTAAAACCCACCCCTTCACTAGGTCCTTGAACTTGCGCATCTGTTTCTATCCTGGTGCTATCACTGCATTCCATTCTGTGCAAGTTCATCGGTTCAGGTCACCAAGCCTCTACGGAGTGACCGTGAGTGGTTTCCGAGTTTTCGCAATAATTGTGAAACCCCGTTACTCTTGTTTCTTCATACTTGCCCTGTGCCTGTCTTTGGGATAAATTCTGGGAAGTGAAATTGTGGGGTTCCAGGGTAGGCACATTTTAACATTTCTAACCATCGCTCTCTCCTTCTTTAAACCATCTCTTTTGATGATCTCACAATATTCCATCTAGAGAAAAAGGCGTCATTTGTTCTTCCATCTCCTCTTGTTGGATGTGTAAGTTGCTTCCAATATTTTCTATTGTGAATTACACTATGATGAGCATCTTTACGTGTGAAGCTTCGTCTGTGCCCAGGATTGCTTCCTGGCTGTGTGGTATTTGTTGTCAGGCTCAGAGCGACCAGCACGAGGACCTTGAGGCGAGTGTTCGCCGGTCATTTAAACAATCATACTTGGCCGGGCCGGTGCTACGCCTGAATCCAGCACTTTGGAGGCAGGTGGGCGGATCACGAGGTCGGAGATCGAGCCATCCTGAAGCTAAACGGTGAGAATTCCCGTCTCTACTAAAAATCAAAAAATTAGCAGGCGTGAGTGTCGCGCCTGTGGTCCAGCTACTAGGGAGGCTGAGCGAGCAAAGAAGGCCGTGAATGCGGGAAGCGGAGCTTGCAGCGGATCCAAGATTGTGCCACTGCACTCCAGCCTGCGGCAACGAGCGAGTCTCTGTCTCAAAAAAAAAAAAAGTATACTTGCCAAAGGAATTCAACTCTGACCAAGTGACAAAAACTAACAATTATAACTGCTTTATCTCTAGATGTCTGTGTGTATTAGTCCACGTGGACTGCTATAATAAAAACTCCATGGACTGGGTGGCTTCTAAACAACAGAAATTTGTTTCTCACAGTTCTGGAAGCTGGGAGGTCCAAGACCAAGGCCCTGGGAGACTCGGTATCTGGTGAGGGCTTGCTTCCTGGTTCACAGATGACGCCTTCTCACCCTGTCCTCACATGAAGGAAGGGGGCACGAATCCCACTCACAAGGCTCTACCCTCCGGACCTCATCACCTATCACAGGCCTTACTTCCCGACGCCATCACTTTGGGTGTTAGGATTTCAACATAGGAATTTTGAGGGGGACACACCCAGCCCATATCACTGTGCGTCCATTGGTATCAAGGCCATAGCACCTCCACTAGGAGAACAGCACACACAGTCACACAGAAATATGTAACCTTCAAAACATAAAGAACTGGCCAGGCACAGTGGTTCACACCTGTAATTCCAGCACATTGGGAGGCCGAGGCGGGTGGATCACCTGAGGTCAGGTGTTTGAGACCAGCCGGGCCAACAGGGCGAAACCCCATCTCTCCTAAAAATACAAAAATGAGTTGGGTATGGTGATGCCTGCCTGTAGTCCCAGGTACTTGGGAGGCTGAGGCAGGAGAATCACTTGAACCTGGGAGGTGAAGGCTGCAGTGAGCTGAGATCGCGCCACTGCACTCCAGCCTGGGTGACAGACCAAGACTCTGTCTTAAATAAATAAATAAATAAATAAATAAATAAATAAATAATAAAAAAAATCTAACCTAAAGCTTCCCCCAGAACTGCTGCTCCCGCTCCCTTTCCTCCTACACACAGAAGCTAAACATGCTTGGCTGCTGTGTTCCGGCCAGGCTAACAGCGCAGGGAAAGGCCTGGGCTCAGGGCCTCTGTTTGGTGCCTCTCCCTCGTGGGGCTCCTGAGCCCTCTGTTCCGGGAACAGAGCCTTTGCTGGTTACAAGGGGTCTGTCATCCGTCGCTCCTCTTGGCATGAATGAATTTCAGGACTCATTGAAAAAGTGAGTCACTGGCAGGGAATCTCTGACATGTGCTGCAGAAAACCTCGTGATCCAGCGTGCACCTTTCATTCCACCCGATTCAGAAATCCTCCTGCTGGATCCGACGCCTCCAAAGTGCTCATGTTCCCCATTGGAGCCTCAGAGCATCAAATGTTCATCTGACTCCAGCGTTCCTCCAGCAAAACCTTTGCTTTCTCTCAAATACGTGGGTGTTACGTGCACTCTCCTCTCTCTGCCCTTGAGGAAATCTTGTCCCTCTGAGGAAATGCCAAACCAGAGCCACATGCACATCTGGGCTCTGATCCCACCCCCCACTCCGTGGAACCCTGCTGACAGCCCCCCTACCCCAGGGCTGGGTCACTTCCCAATGGAAACCAAAGGGCGGGTCCTCTTTGCATTCATTCATCCATCCTTTTCAGGAGCGTTTGTATGTGTGAGCCACTGAACCCGGCGTTGGACATATCTTTTTAGGGACAAAATTCCCTTCTCTACACCCTCCAATAAAAGCAGGGACGGCCTGGTCGCGTGCCTGTGTGGGGAGACCGGTGCCTTTGCAAGGCATTCTCACACCCGGTCAGCCCCCCCACGACCCCCTGTGGTGGTGACCATCATTGACCCACTTGAGAGGACACGCAGCCTGCCCATGGCCACACAGCTCGAGCGTGGTGGCGCCTCGTGGACAGGGTGTGCGGACCCTGTGCCCCCACACTCGGTCCACCAGGATGGGCTGCCTGTCCCTGAAACACACGGAGGTGGAGGAGGCGGGACCTTCGCAGGGGTTTTCGGGCTAACAGGGGAGGTGTGCGGTGCACAGCAATGGCTGTGTAGGCCGCAGGGCGTCCCAGGGCTGCAGACGCTGGGGGTCTCACGTGCAAACTGTGCTGCGTGTGGGGTGAGCGGCAGTGTCTCAGGGTCGGGCGCTCCCCATGGGATGCATCCCGGTGTCCTCACTGGGACGCAAGCTCCGGAGGGGGAGGTCCCGTCTGTTCTGCTCACCATGGCTCCCAACCCCAGCACCCAGCCAGGCCCCACAAGCACGTGGACTGCGAGAATGGATTCTCTGGTGTTCAGGGGAAGGAGAAGTCCAGCCTCAGTTTCCCCACCTGCAAAAAGGGGCGGGCGGGACGCCTGATGTCGTTTGGAAACTGCCCGGGCGCGCCACCTGCTGGACGGAAAGGGCAGCACACGCGGTGGGAGCCGGCTCCAAAAAGCCCCAGGTGCTCCGCCTGGCCGCGCATGGCCCACCCTTCCCTCAGAGGCCACGCCCTCGGGCAAAAAAGGCCAGGAGCCTCCTTCCTCCCGAGCCCCCCGGGGCACGAGTGGCCCCATGCCCTGTGACAATCAGGGGCCAAAGGGGGAGTCAGGACCTGAGCAGTGGCCCAGGAAGGACACCTGCATCCAGGGAGCCTTGAAACCTCGTCCTCGGCACACTTATACTCACACTCATCATCACACACCACACACTCAGACCCACACAAACACTGTCACACACCCACACAAACACG